CCGGCCCGGGGGATGAGGAGCCACTACACCACGCGTGGGGGGTCAGCCTTTGTCCGGCGGCAGAGACCCTAGGGTCGGCAATCCGTCGTCGCTTCACAGCGCCCCGCGTCCAAGACGCCGTCGTTGATGACGGAGGAGGAGGAGGGACCACCGGTCCCGCCCCCCTCATATACACCCCCGTCGTCCTCCTCTTCGGTTACTTCCTGTATAAGGGGAGAAGGTCGCCGCCGTTCTCGCCCCGTCTCGGCGGCGCGGATGCGCGAGCGGTGGCCCGGGGCGCGAGCGACCCGGCTGGAGCCGGTGCCCGCGTTGTCCCCCAACGTCACCATCCCGCGCATCTCCTCCCGCTTCTTCGCCTCCACTGCCCGGCGGCGGCGGGAGAGGGCCATGACCTCCTACTCCCTCTGCCTTTTAGCCTCCTCCTTCTGCGACATCACACGATCGCAGAAGGAGGAGAAGGCCTTCCAAGCTCTCTCCCCGCCGATTATTGCCCTCACAACAGCCGGCAGGGAGAGATCATCCCCAATCTCCCGGACCAGGACATCGCGCTCGCCCGCCCAGGCCGGGCAGGCCTCCTGCGCGGTGTCCCGGTCCTCGTCGCAGTGGCGACAACGCGCGGTCGGTTCCTTACCTATGCGACACAGGTACTCCCCGAAACATCCGTGTCCGGTGAGCACCTGCGTCGTGTGGAACGACAATCCGCCCCATCCCCTGCCTACCCATTCCTCGAGGCAGGGGAGGATGGCCTCCACGGTCCGGGCGCCCGTTGTCGGCGGGTTGTTTTCGAAAGTGGCGCGTCACTCACTGAAGATCCGCCGACGGGCGTTCCCCCTTAGTCGGTCAACGCTGGTCAACGTCGGTCCCCGGGGTTACGACCCCCCTCCCCCGAAGCCGAAGGCCTTCACCCCGGCGAATGTCTCCGCCAGGGCGTCGGCCGTACTCGGCAGGGGGGATCCCCGCGAGAACCATGACGGCCGCATACGACATCGTCCTGTAGGCCCTACAGATACGAAGGGCCAGCCGCCGTTGCACGCTGTGCAACCGTTCTTGCATACAGCGACTGGCCAGGGCCTTCCCACACCATACCGGGGCCCCGGACAGGACGACGTGCATATACGCCCGCCTGACCGACTCGTTAGGACCGCGAAGGTTGGGCATGAGGCCGAGCAGAGCGTCTGCTCGGCGGCCCAATCGCGGGGCTAGCTCGTCGAAGTGTTCGACGAAGCCCCAGCGACCATCCACGGTGAAGCCCAGGTACTTGATAGTGGGCCTCACCGGGACACGGACATCGTCCACCACGATATGTGCCTGAGGGGGCACCCCTCTCTTCCCGTCGTGGAAGAACAGAGCTTCCATTTTAGCGGGGGCCACCCTCAGGCCCAACTCCCTTACGGAGCCGACCACACACGCCACTGCGACGTTCGCCGTTCCCACGGCTTTCTTCCAAGTCGTGCCCCCGGCCACCACCAGCATGTCGTCTGCGTAGCAGACGACGTGGCAGTCGGGGGGTAGGGTCGCGCGGAACATAGTCGTATGCGACGTTCCAAAGTAGGGGGCCCAACACCCCTGTGGAACGCCGCACGACATATCCCTCCGCTGCTGGAGTCTCCGTTTATCGTGGAACTTCAGCTGCCTGTCCCGGAAATAGTCCTCAACTGCGGCGACCAGGTAGGGGGGCAAGAGATGGTGTTCTCTCATAGCCCCACTACCCGGCCCCACGGGACGCTGTTGAAGACGTTGGCGATGTGCAGGGACACCGCCAACGCCACCTCCCCACCCGCGGTCATCTGCTCCGAGAGGGCTCTGACCTGCCTGACGGCAGCGATCGTCGACAGGTCCTCTCGGAAGCCGTACTGACCGCGGGATAGATTGGGACCATCCCGGAACAGGTGCCGAACGATGCGGGCAGCGATGACTCGCTCCAGCAGTTTTCCCGCATCGTCCAGGCAAATTGGCCTATAAGCGGAGGGACTCTCCGCCGGCTTACCCTCTTTACGTAGGAGGACAAGCCTGGCCCTCTTCCACGACCTGGGAAAGATACCTTCTCTGAGGCAGCTCGTGAAGAGTTACCTCAGTCGATCGCCCACGATGGGGGCCGCGGCAAGCCAGACTCTGCCGTGAATGCCGGAGGGTCCGGGCGCCCGCGGCCTCCCCTTCAGGGGGGCGAAGGCCTTCGTCATCTTCTCTCCGGTGACGCTCAGTTCCTGCGTCCATCCGGAAGGGGGCCGGCCCTCTCGGGAATGTCTCTTTTCCTTGCGGGAAAGAGGACAGCCACCACGTTCTCCAGCAACCGAGCGTCCAGGGTTTCCGTTATCGGGGGAGACCCACGGACGAAGTTTCTTCGTCACTATTCGATAGGGCCTCCCCCACGGATCCCTGTCCAGGGAGGAGATCAACTCACGCCAGGCGTCGCCTTCGCCTTCCTAATGGCGCTCCTTGCGTCACGGAGCGCCCCGGCGGCCACCTCCGCGTCGGTGCCCCGCCGTCTGCGGCGAGTGTACTTCCTCATGGCATGGTGGCCCGTCGTAGCTCAGCTAGCTCCTCGGACCACTAGTAGGCTGCGCTTCTCGCCAGGACGGCAGCGGGGTATCGACGCGCGACATGGCGTCCCCGAGCCAGTCGACCTCCTCCTCCACCGAGCGGGCCGGGTTACGTTCCGGCCAGGTGGAGGAGAGGAGGCTCACCTCAAGGGCGTCGGGGTCCAGCTTGCGCAGGGCCCATTGACGTTCCATCTCTCGTCGGCGGCATCTTAGTGACACCTCCGCGGGGGTGGACACCAGCTCCATCCGGATCAGACGATGATCCGTCATCTTGCCCAAGGAGATGGCGTCCACGTGCCATCCTCGAATCTTGATGGCCACCGCGGGGGTCGCCCACGTCAGGTCGACGATGGACTCCCCCCGGGCCCCCACGAAGGTGCTGGCACGGCCCCTATTCAGTAGAACTAGGCCATGCCTCGCCGCCCACAGCAGAGTGCCCCTGGAATCGATGGATGGGGAACCCCACTCCAACGCGTTGAAGTCCCCACCCACCAGTATCGGTCTGAGGGAGCGTCGTCGAATGTGCTCCCCCAGAGATTCTAGGGCGTCCTCATATTCCCTCCTGCTTACGTGAGGAGGGAAATAGCACCCTGCTACGTCGATGGGCCCCCACTCTACCAGAGTGAACCCCTCCCCCGCCGATATGGGAATCATCGGCGGGGTGTCGCGCGCGTGCCGGCTGACCACCGCCACCCGTCCCAGAGAGTCCCCCGCCCAGTTGGGCTGACTCTCCGGGATTCGGTATAGGTCTGTGGCGATGGCCAGCCCCCCCCCCACTCGAGGAGGCACTGCATGAGCATGCTTTGTGCCCCTGCCGAGTGGCTGAGGTTCAACTGGGCGAGGGCGAAGGACATTATTTGGTCTCTCGCTCCTCGCCCTCACCGACGTTGACTTTGTCGGCCACTTCGTCGGCCGCCGCGGTGGATGTCTCCTCCACGACGGCTATTTCAATGTCGGCCACGAACAAGGCCGGCGTGGTATTGCAAAATCTCG